GGAGTCCTGTGGGAAAGCCACTGAATGATTTCATTAATGCACATTGCATGTTTTAATCACACCAATAGCTTGGCGTTTTTTCGAGGCCCATAGCTTTTTTATTGTCATGCCTCAACAGAAAAGCCTCAGTGGAAAGAGGGCTGATCATCTCCAACGCAGGTCTTTGTCAGTGTATCTAAGTAACAAATGTGCACGTGGTGGAGCCTAAAATATGGCTGGCACGTCAGCTGTCATCACTTTGGATGTTCTGCTGGCAGCACAGCGCATGGCCTCCTCACTTTGTTGCTTTCATTCTGCCCTTCATGAAGGCATTTTCTCCTAGGAATGATGAGAATCTTTCTTGATTTCAGTTCTGTGCCCTCTTACCTTCCCCACCTCTCTCTGTCTTCTATTAGGTGTTAGGACTTTTTATCTTATGCTCTGTGAAGTGCTTTAGAGGCTCAATAAACCCCTTGTAATTTTTTCAAAAGTGTGCATACATATGTACATGCCATCAGATTCTCAAAGGGATCCCCAGTACCAAAACAATTAAGAACTAATGCAGTAGAGTGCCCCTTTCTCTGGGGTTATAGGGCCAAACATAGCAAACTGGATGAGAGAGACGAATCCCAGCCAGGGTTCTACTGTTGGAGCGATGAGCAGTTATTTCTGATCCTAATTTCCTGTATTCCCATCAGCAAATCACTTAAGCTCCAAATTCCTCTGTTTTCTCAGCTGTCAAATGGATGCAGTCTGTCCTCACTGATTCTGCAGCCCTTTGTCTCCCGTCGCAGGTGCTCCAGGCACACAGATTTTCATACCAGTTTGAATGTGCCACACCCAGTGCCTGCGAGGACGCCACACCTTGGTTTCTCTGCTTCATGATCTCTAAATGTTCTCCCATCACACTGTACAGTAACTGCATATTTACATGCCAGCATCCCCTCTATTTGCAATATCCTGGGGAGTGGCGGCAGTAGCTTATTCATTTACCACCAGTGTCCTCCAGTATGAAGAAGGAAGGAATTCATTAAGTTGTCGATGAGATTCGGCTTGTCTGAGTTCCCACACACCCAGCCATCTTTCTATAGAGAAAAAAGAAGAGATAAGCTCATCAGAGTTTCTAATGGCTCAGAGAAGCAGAGAGGGGCTGGTGTGGATAACCTAACTGCCTCCCCAGCTTTTTGTGGATAGAACAGCACTTTGAGAGGCTTATTAAAAATACAGATTCCCTAGGCTCTGCCTGCAGGGATTCTGAGTCCGTTTGAAATGGGGCACTTGGAAGTGCACTTTTAACACGTTCCCAGGTGGTCCTGCAAGGTTTGGTTTGGTCAGGGTTGGGGCAGACTGGACATTAGTGAACTGAGAGACAACTGCAGCTTCTTTTCCCAAGACCAGAAAAGGGTCTGAAGAGCAAAAGAACCATTGGATTCCCTTAATTGTCCTCTGTGTGGCGCTGTGCAGAAGCTTTAGCAAAACAGATGGTGACCTACCACTGGGCTCTTGAAAACTGATTCCTCAGGGTTGGCCCCCAGGTGGGGCCTCTGCTGAGGGCTAAGGATTGCCAAGCCCAAAGTTTATATGAGGTGATGTCTGGTGAGTATGGTGTTCTCATCCAGATTTCTCTGCTCATCCTGATTTGGGGGCAAAGTGTTGTTTCAAAGACAAGGAGATGTGTCTGGGTCCCAGTGGTGCTTGTCATGTCACACAGAGCAGTGACTTCAGAATGGCTGGGGGATTCAATTACTTGACTAGTTACTTTCCTCCTTGACTCTTATTTTTAATTACAGAAGTAAGGCATGTTTTTGTAGATGATTTCAAAAAAGCACACAAACAAAAATAATTTTTAAAAGTCACCTGGAATCACACCACCCACAGATAACCACTGTTAACATTTAGTGCATATCCTTAAAAGGATACTGTTTGGTAACCTGCTTTTCCTAATTTAACAATATAACAAGAACATTTTCTGGGCTAGTAACCACATTTAAATCATTTTTAAAAGTTGAATAGTATTATAGTATTTCATTTATAGATGGACCATGGTTTATATAACCAATTCCATATTATGGGGCAACAAAGTTTTCTCTCTCTCCTTTTCCTTCCTCTTACCCTTACAGGACCAACTCTGCCATCAGCATTCTTACAGTTACCCAGTTACCCCTTTGTGTACTTGTCCAATAGTTTCCTAGATACAGAATGTCTGGGACAAAGGATATAAAATTATTTCATAGTTCTTAATGCTTTCTAGCAAGGTTGCCCATTTTATTCATACCACCAGTGAATGAAAGGGAAAGAGGACCTGTCTAAGGATTTGTTCTGAAGTCACCTGACAAATTGTCCTGCTACTAGTCTGGCAGAATTTGGTGGTAAACTAACTTACCAGCCCTCTGTCCTAGGGAGGCAGAGAATCGTGGCTGCAGAATGCCTTCAGAGAGGGGTCGTCCGTTCTGCCTTGTTCTAACAGAGCAGTCCACATGCGAGCTGGCTCATTTTCTCCACCAGTTACCTCTTGGGCTTGGAAAGCTGGACATTTACTGGAACTACCCCAGAATTGTTTCAGGCGATGAAATATGGGCCAAGTGGTGCTGCCAGTGCATGCAGTGGCTAATGTAAATTCAGCCCCACCATCTCATCTCTCTTTGGGACAATGATAGTAACTGTCTTTTCTTCCTGCTACACTGAATTCTCCAGGTACGGGCAATGGGGGAATGAATGGGACTTCATGCTTTGTCCCAGGGTAGGTTGTGAGCTCCCAACAGCATTCATAGGCAAAATGTTAGAATCTGCTCCTTCCCAACAGGAGCAAAGAGAGAATAGGCTTACCATGGCCAGAGCTGAAATTTCATAATGGGCTGAGGTTAGGATGGAGGAAACCTACAGGGTAACAGAGAACATGGAAAGCCATAGGCAGGCACCAGCCAAAGACTACAGAGTGAAAAGAGGCAGGAAAGTTGCCAAAGGATACCAGTCAGCAGTCCAAGTGGGTTACAGAGTCCAAAACCTGGAACCATGTCCACCAATTCATGTAAACTCACAAACCTCCTACCCAAAGGCCCAAGGGCAGAATGAACTGGCAGATACAGCCAGATTTTCCAAGTGTACAATATTATGGTCATTTTAAATGGGTCAAGCAGCAAAAATGACCTTTGGCAGTCAGAGTGGGAGGGAGTACTTCACAGAGTTAAATACAAGCGATCAAGGAAGAAATGTCCCTGACAGATCCAGAGAAGCTGTATACAAACACCCCCATTCCATCCATTTCTGCAGCTCAGCTACATTGCACTGGAGTGGGGATGGCCCCAGAGGGAGTTCAGAGACCTAATGGTAAGTGGCCCGGCAAGCCTCTTAGCCCAGTGTTTGGGGCAGAGATAGGTTTGGGTTTTGTGTAGGGAGAGACCACATTCTTTTGTGCCTTAGAGTTGTCTACCACATGAATATAGATGTTTCACAATTAAAAAAGAAAAAACTGATGAAATTTGTTTTCCAAATTGTTTTCATAGAATGTTGCATGCTGTAACAATACAGTGTTGAGTGAAAAGAAAATAGAATATAAAATTATGTGTATGGTGTAATTTCAGTTCTGCAAAAAATGTTTATACATGTTCATAGAAGAGGCATTAGAAGGAAACAAACCAATATTTTGACAACATGGGGGAAATTTTGAACTTTAATTTAGTATATTAGCTTATACTGGCCATTCTCTGTCATTGGTTATGAATCTCCAGTTGAAGGAAGCAGGAAGCAACCATCCGTGGGCTGCCCTCCAGCGTGAGATAAGCACGTGGTGGAGCCCAGGAAAGAGGTGGAGGGGAGACCGGAAACCAGAGCGGAGGCAACACCACCACCCAGAGCCAGTCACGTCTTCAGCCAAGTACTAATAGGAACTACTTTTCCGTAGCTTTTTCTCATTTCTTACTTTCACTCCCTCTGCATTCCTCTGTATTTTTAACTTGTTAAACTGTTTGTGTCCTTTCATAACCAAGATGGCTATCGGTCAACTAATTGATTAGAATGAGACAGGCATGGCAAACAACATCAGCAGGGGTATAATAATTACACTTAGGTTAACTGAAGAGTAAACTGCAGATCATTCTTATCCAGATGCAGATTTAGCCATTTTCATGTAATCTGTGTTTGTGATTCACTGGTTAAAAAACAACTCCAAGTGTCATTAGGAAGAGACATCCAAACTGGGAGGACACAACTGTGTGAGAAGAGGCAGCTTGGATGGAGCAGGAAAGGTCACGCCTGCTGAGGAATGACGTGCGGTTAATCCCAGGCCCCTCTCCTCCCTGCCAAATCGCCAGCTGTGTGACCTAGGATACGTCACTTACACTCTGAGCTTTGGTTTTCCCATTTGTTAGGTGGGGATGTAATACCTATTCTGGATAAATAAAATCTCTATGAAGTGAGTCCTGGAGGTCCCAGCATAAAGAAAACTGCCGTTTTCTGCCAACCCCCACTGGTATCTCCTCTATCCCCAAATTAAGTTTAATGCAGTTAAGAGTATTCGTAAGAAGATCCTTGCTGTCAAAGCAGAGCTCCGCAGCTCAGAGCCTTGAAATGTGAATCCTTCTTGCCTTCCTTCATGGCCTCTGCCTGCACCCAGGTCTTGATTTCTCTCCATGAATTCACTGTGAACCAGTCCTTCCCTCTACCAGCCTGAAGCTCCAGTTTTGCTAAGTCCCATGTGTGTTCCCTTATCAGTCCAAGGTGGGTGCCAAGACAGCCATATCTTTCAGATATTTAGAGTGCCTTTTAAAAGAAATTAATTGGTGCTCAGAAATTCCATCACTTGATGTGAATGTTTACTTACAGTCATAAAAAGTAGCAAAGCTGTTTTGCTCTTAAAATATGTTTTCCATGAACTCTGAATTTCTAAGTATTAATTCATCTGGTTTGAATAGCTATGTCCAATAATTAATCCCTTCTTTTAGCAATTCCTTTTTTCTATGAGAAGAATTTTCTGCCTGACCATCAAGCAAGAACAAATTAGTTTTTTCTTCCTTTTTTTCCAGAGGCTCCAGTTTCTAGAAAGCCCAGATCTACTTGACAGCATCTGAAACTTCACTCTCCTTGTGAGCTACAGTTCTGTGAGTTCTTCTTTGATATAACAATTAGCAAAGCAACCCTCAGCATTCCCTCTGTCTATAGACATGCTAAGCACTGACCTTTCCTATGTGGGCAGGTGTCCAAAGACAGTCTTCCAACTAGAATTGGCCTTTTCAGTAATGACAGTGACAACAGAAGTGGCAGAAACACCAGACATACCTTTTAAAGAACAACAGAGGCTGAGCATTCCAGAGATCTCTTGCAGTTATGAAGGCAGAGATACAATCGCCATCACCACTTTCCACATTCATTTTCCATATGTAATTCCTCTTTAGATCATTGTCAGGTCCACTCAGAAGTGGAAAATAAACCAAAACACTTAGATTGCATTAAAGCTCCAATCTATCAGTAAACAAAGAAATGTCAAAAGGGGGGTTCACAAAAATGATGCTATTTGAAAAATATTTACATTTAACAAATTAATGTTTCACACCAGAAATGCAATGTCATGCAATTGTACTGTTCACAAGCATCTGGTAGTAATAAAAATAATAACAGCTTACATTTATTGAGTGCCTAATATATGCTATGCATTGCTCAAAGCACTTTTCATAGCTGACCTTATGTGCATCTTTTCATAAGATGACCTTATGACATAGATTCCAGTATTGATATTTCAAAGACAAAGAAATTGGAGCACAATGATTTTCAGTAGCTTGCCCAAGGTGAAAAGGAATAGAGACAGATTTATACTTTTTTGGATGTTTTTCTTTCCAATTCTTTTAGTGTATTTCTGAGTCTGTGTGTTGCCTCAGCAAGGGACATAAGTCTAAATTTTAGATTTTGTGAATGTGAGACCTGTGGTCATTTGCATTAATCAAGAAGACACTTTGCACCAACTCCAGAGCCTCAGCACATTGCTCACCAGGCTCGTGGCCTTTCAAGGAGGGCATACTCCCACTACACACTTCCTCTTGACTGCGTCTCAGCTTAGACACAGGGGTGGTCTCCCTCTGTAAGGCAATGAATGCTTCTCGAATTTCTGTCTTCTGAAAGAAGAATGAAGCCCACTTGCTCAGTGACTTCCCCAGCTTCAAACACCACTCCCAGATTAAGACTTGGAGCAGGGCTAGAAGGCTGGGAAGGTCACCTTTAATGCCCTACCTTTGTCCTCACCCCCTGGAGAAATGGGCTCTTCCTGGACACCCTTAATACATCTCAAGCTTTCTCAGCAGAGTGAATGAGCAGAATGGGGAATCACATGGCTTGATTCTTACCATCTTTGAACAAGAACAGGAACCAGAGTGAGAGAAAGAGCAACAGCACGAGTGTGCCTTTTCACTGTTAGTATCCTGTCCACCCTCAGTTCACCGCAGTCTGGCTACTGCCCCCTGAATATTTCAGTATTCTCAACTCAGTGCAGGTTTCCCTCCCACCTCCGTGGGCCCTTCCCAGTCACATGAGCAGGCCTATTCTGCAGTTGGCCTCTTCTTTGGCCTCTGGCCTCTTCTCTCTCTCATTTTTCTTTGTTTGGTCCATGGCCAAAACTTCAGTCATCAAATTATATGTGAGTGACTTTCAAATTCACATCTCCAGACCAGACATTTTCTTTGATTTCCAAATGCATGATCGAAAAGGTTACCTATTACAGATCCTTTAGATATACCAAAGACTCTTTGGATTCAGCTCTGTGCGTGCTTCTGAAATCAAACTGAAGATCTTCCTACCATGAACCTTGTCCTTTTTTGACGTTTCTTTTGTCAGTGAATAGCCAGAATTTACCATGTTCCTTCCTGTCCCAAGATGCTTGGTGCATGATGCTCTGTCTTCTGTGTTAACTTGTGTTACACAGATATATACATGCATAAACATACATGTGCATATATACAAAGTGGCAAAAATGTAGAGGACTAAATCCCACTTTATCACTTGCTAAATTTCAGAGTCTTAATGACCATTTTCATTTATGTATTGAGGTAAATAAAAATCACTTATTAAAAAATGAACTTGGTGTTTATTCCACACAAGTGAAGTATTTAATGCAGCACTAACTACAATTCTTTCCACCATCATTATCATAATTACAGCCTGAATTACATTGCAAATAACTGGTTGAGTTTTCCTTTTCTATTGTTTGTTTCTCCATTAGGTGGACAGCTGCTTAAATTGATGCTTCTCCAGTGGAATCATACCCAGAATGTCACTACTGACACAGGTCAGGCAGGTATCAGTCTATTTCCTAATCTAAAAACAAGGTTTAGAAGGACTGTATATACTCATTTATTTTGGTTTAAGTAGAGCATGTAATAAAAAGAATTCTGAAGGCCCCATTTCCACTTTTATCCAGATGTAACCCTTACATCATCTTTTTTCCAAGTATTTTCTCAATATTTAATTTCCCTGTGATTTCCACCATTTGTACCCAAGACCAGCTACCTAATTTGCAAAATGGAAATGCAGGCCCGTTTTTAAAAACTATTAAGAATTTCAAAACGGTGATAGTTAAGCATTAAGTTAAGCTTGGGGCCCTTCCAAGCATGGGCACAGGTCACACACCCACGAAGCAGACTGTGCCTATAACTTAGTCTTTCAACTCCTTGCACTCCAAATGCCATGTCTCCAACTCTACAAGCTTTTTCTAATTATTGTACCCACATTTTAATTGAACACTGAAGGAATATATCCCACATGCCAGACCTGGGCTACATGCTGGAGTTGCAGAGATCAATAGGTGATGACTCTTACTCTCAGGGATCTGTAGTCATTCTCCAGATTTCAGGTACAAGCCTTTGAGTTTAAACCCCTTTGTGAGATAACAAAAGTGCCATCACCATTTCACTCTTTGTTTGTTTGGTCAGTAAGTGTGTGTTATGAAGCTCCAATGTGTTCATAATAAAAAGTAAAATATGTCAAAGCAGTTATCACTGCTCATGAACAATATTAGCAAAAATTAACAAGAAATTACACGTCCCAAGTCAAGAGTGACTTGCTCATTCACATTTTGGGATGCAACTGGGGAATATTTATTTAAAAAATTGTAAGGCACCATTTAATTATACCTCCATCTTTTAATTTCCTACACATGTAGGAAATGTAAGGTGTTCATCACAGTATTTTTCATAATGGGGAAAAAAAAACAAGCAACAACCTAAATGCCCATCAGTAGGACATTAATTAAACAAATTACAGTTCATATAAGCAGAAGACTATTATGCTACTAACAGGAGGAGTGATGTAGATTTCTTTGTGCTGACAGGATGCCCAAGGTATCATTGTGAAGTGATAAAAGCAAATTACAGAATATTTCTAGATTATGATACCATTTATGCTTTGAAAAAATAATACTCAAATACACTGGTAAACATATCCATGGCTATATCTGTATGTGATAGAGACACTGAAAATGTCTGGAAGACAAAAGAAACTATAATAATAATGCTTCTGAGGAAAAGAATTGGGGCACTTTGGGCAGAGAAGGGGACTTTTACTTTTTACTTGGTTTCCTATTGAATGGTTGAAACTGAAAATGAATTTTTACTTCTTTCATAATTAAAACCTGCCCAATTAAAAAAAACTCCAAGTCACTAACTCTATTTTTTCTTTCTGTCCTTTACCTCTAATATCATTTTCAAAAAGGCATGGGGAGAGTAGTGAACATGCTTAAGGAGTCCAAATAATGAGTGATATCTTCTACAATTAAGAGGATTGGGCACAGCCTAACCCCTAGTGGCCAGAATCAATTTTGTGTGGGAGCCACATGATCCTTACTCACTGCACTGTCTGCCTTTGAAAACCTTATTACCATAGCCATATGAGGCAGAAGGAGTCTCTTCATTCCCAAAAAGAAAACAATGTCAACCTAACTGCTATGGTCTTAAGCATTGAAACTCTTTGCTCTTCCTCTTGCGCTGGTGAAAAACATTTCGATGGGATAGTTTTTGTCAAGTCCACATAAACCTCTATAAGGAAAGGAATGAAACATCCACTTAAATGGTATATTTGAAGCTGAAAGTGCTGTCACACAGCAGGTGTTGCCTTTGCATCTCCCACACAAGTCCTGACAATGCGGCCTCTTAGGGTGATAATTTCCTTCCTCTTTAAGGCTAAATAATATTCCATTGTATGTATACACTGGTCATCCTGGACTTACAGGGGTTCTAATGATTTTTCTCACAATGGTGTAGAAGTAGTACACATTCAGTAAACACTGAACATACTTCAAATTTTGAATTATTATCTTTTTCCAGGCTACCACCCCACCTCCCTGACTGCCAACCCACCTTCCTCTTCCCCTTTCCTGCTGCTTGCCTTCTCCCAAATTCTTAAACAATAGAGACCAGGTTATGCTATAATAACAAGCAACCCCTAAATCTCAGTGGCTTCCAGTTGCCAAGATCTGTCCTCTCTTACTCTACATATCCATCACTGGTGGCTACAGCTTGCCCCAGTCATCTTTACTCCTGGTCTCAGATGATGGGGCAGTCTCTACAGGGGACATTATAGCCTCAACCCAGTATCCTGGCAGAAAAAAAAGGAAATATGTCATGTCTACACAGCTCGGGAGCTTCCACCCACCAGTGACAGACATCACCTTTGCTCAGATTTCACTGTCAAATCGACTCTCATAGTCATGCCTGTCTAAGAGGCAGTGATATATAATTCTCCTTCAGGGAGAGGTGAATTTGGTTAATAATAATTTAATGAAATAAAGAGTTACAATTATCAGAACCACACTGAAAGCAAGATCAAGATTTAAAATGAAGGACCAGCAATGGAAAATAGGCAGTACAGCAAAGCAAAGCATCTAAACCAGCCAAATAGGTTTTCTTTAAAAGAAAAATTGTGATAAAATACACATAACAGAAAATTTGTCATCTTAACCCTTTTAAGTGTATCATTTACTGGTATTAAATACACTGACAATATTGTGCAACCATTTCTAGACCTCTTTTCTTTTTGTAAAACTGCAACTCTTTACCCATAGTAAACTAACTTCCCACTCGCCCATACCTCTGCACACTGGCGATCACCATTCTATCTTCTGTCTATCTAAGTACCTCTTGGAAGTGGAATCATGCAGTATTTGTCTTTTTTGTAAATGGCTCATTTCAATTAGCATATAATTCTCAAGCTTCGTTTATATTGCAGCATATGTCATAATTTCCTTCCTCTTTAAGGCTAAGTAATATTCCATTGTATGTATACACTGGTCATCCTGGACTTACACTGGTCCTAGTGATTTTTCTCACAATGGTGTAGAAGTAGTACACATTCAGTAAACACTGAACATACTTCAAATTTTGAATTTTTATCTTTTTCTTTGGCTAGCAATTGTGGTATAATTCTTGTGATGCTGGGGAATGGCAATGAGCTTTCGCAACCAGTCAGCTACACAACCATTCTGTACATATGCAACCATCGTACTGGTGAAATATGCTCTCCGCCTCCTTCTCTCCCTCTCTCCTACTCCCTGGACTCCACGATGCATATGTCAGTTTACTAAATGGTGTGCCATGCATCCCTGAGGCTCTGCTTACTTTCCTTCAATTGTTTCTCCTTCTGTTCCTTATACTTGATCATTTCCATTGCTCTATCTTCAAATTCACTGATTGTTTCTTCTGACTGCTCAAATCTGTCTTTGAATCCCTCTAGTGATTTTTCTTTTCAGTTATTGTACTTTTCAGCTACAGAATTTCATTTTAGTTTCTTTCTAGGTTTTCTGTCTCCTTATCGGTAGTTGCATTTTGTTCATTCCTCGGTTTTTTTACTTCATCCACATCTTCTTTAGTTCCTTGAGCATCTTTAAGACAGTTGTTTTAATGTCTTTGCCTAGTAGCTCTGCCATCAGGCCTTTTTCAGGGACCAGTTTCTGAAGATGTTTTTCCCTTTGAATGGGCCGTGCTTTCCTGTTTGTGATTTTTATGCCTTGTGATTTTTTTTGTTGTTGAAAGCTGGGCATTTGAATTGTATAATGTGGTAAATCTGGAAGTCAGATTCTCCTCCTTTTTTAGGGTTTGGTGTTTGTGGTTATTGTGTTAGTTTATTTTTGTAGGATGTCTCTGTACCAAGTATTAAGAATCGGCCTAGGTGTGAACATAAGGTCTTCTTAGGCCTTTTCTGAGCTTGAGGCCTTTCCTTGGACATGTGTGGTCACTCTCTAATTTTCCCCATATATCCATGTAGTTTTGAATGTCCTAGACTTTAAAATCTGGCGTCCGAAAGGGGAAAAGAAAAATGAAGGGGAAAGAGTGCTGGCCCTTTAAATCCCAGGAAAGTCACTTCAGTCAGAGAGGAAGGGGCTCACAACAATAGGGAGAACCCTGGTGGGCAACTACACAGGCAATCTGCCTCTTCGCTTTCACTTTTGTGATCAAAACCAGTGATGAGACTACAGGTCCTTGATACTTGGAGGGCAGGGTCTATTTGCCTGCCCTGGCACCTGCTTGCTGCATGTGGCCTGCTGCGGGAGCACCTGCACAGCAGTCTGCCGCAGGGGTGAGGGTGGTGGAAGGGCAGCTGCTACTGTGAAGAGCTGAACTTTACTGAAATTCACTGCAAATTACCTTTCAAGACCTGCCCTGCAAGTTGCAAACCTTTAATAGACTTCAGAGTTCCAAGGGAGTTGTACCAGACAGATTCTGCTAGAGCAATTGTTGTCCAGGTATAGGGAGATAAGATTCCTGGTACTTGTTCCTTGCTGTCTTCCTAGAAAGCCCTTTCCAGCCAGATAGCTGGGTTTCTTTTTAAATTTTTTTTATTATACTTTTTGCTGAAAGCCCACATACCAGCTTTTTCAAAGATAATGGAGGATACAAAAAACTGTCCTATGGAGGCAGCATGCCTCAGAGGAATGCTCAAGACCAGAATTTTTAAAAAAGCTAGATTTGCAGTCATTTGTTTTATTCTCTAGAATATCACCATCCAATAGAAATACAATGAGCCACATCTGTTATTCAGCTACATTAAAACAAAATACAAAGAAACAGGTAAAGTTAATTTTAATAGATTTTGTTTAATTCAATATATCCAAAATATTATTTCAACTAACAAGCAATATAAAATTTATTGATGAAATATTTACATTTTTTCATACTAAGTCCTTGAAATTCGTCATGTGTTTTACACTCACAGCACATCTCAATTTAGATACTAAATTTTCCCCGGAAGTAATTGATCTGTATTTAGATTTCATAAAGTTCACAGTTGAAAAAGTAG